CCAATAGAAGGCACTGTGCCTCTAAAGATACTCTCGGCACGAAATTTGAACGATGTCAGAAATGGCGGGATATTCGGAGGAAATGTCGGGAAGAATTTACATCGATGTCCCATCAAAGTGCTACTCAGAGAGGGGTACCCTTACGTGGTATCGGAACTCATTTGGAATAAGACTTCTGGGACGTATTCTGGTGAAGTTTCTGGTTGGGAAATAGAAATGTTGAAAGTAATCGCTGAGACATTGAACATGACTATTGTACCCCTGCCTGCACACTATCCAAATAGTGAAGAAATTACAGATAGTATAGAAATGGAGGTTTTACAGGCAGGACTTGAAGACGGAAATGCACATGTAGCAATTGGTTCTGTCGATAGACTAGAAAATCTTTCGAACAATCTGGAAGCCACGCAGAGCTACTACAACGTAAGAGCAGCTTGGTGTACACCGTGTGCTATTAAACGTCCAAGATGGAGTCGTCTCTTCGGAATATTTTCTGCAGAACTATGGATTTCTTTCATTCTCTCAGTTGTCCTCGCTGTAATTGCAATGGTCTGCATTTCCAAATTTGGACGAAGATTCCACTTGCCGGAATTCGAAGCTTACAGGAATGTTAAAAGCATTACAGACAACACTATAGCAGTGGTGCTGGGGATGTCAGCAACTACACAACCTCGTACGAGCCAACTTCGAGTGTTCTTCTTTTCGTGGGTTTGCCACAGCGTCGCATTCAACACCGTCTTCCAGGCCTATCTCACTTCATTCCTTATCGATACAGGATATGAAGAACCGATTAAAACTATAGATCAAATGTTAAACTCTGGAAGGAAATTTGGTTTCAGCGAAGAGGACCAGCACTTATTTGAAGACTCCACCGATTCTGTGGGCAAGGAAATTTTGAAAGGCATGGTAATCTGTCCTGACTCCGAAGCGTGTCTCAACTGGGCAAGGAAATATCAAAATATTTCAACACTTTGTTTCGATGTGTACACAAAGTACGGGAAATCCATTGGATTGTCAACAGATGAAAACAACAGACCTTTGCTTTGTGGCCTGGATGATGGCGACGTCATGTATTTCGAAACAGTAATGGCAGTCCTGAAGGGAAACCCGCTGCTAGAACATATTAATGACGTCATAGACAGAATTGTGGAGGCAGGCATTTTTATGCAATGGATAAACAGATTTATTGACGAAGGAAGAATTTCGACTAAGACAACTCTGTCTTACACGTTAGCTGACACGTACCATAATTTCAGCATCAAACACGTTCAATCACCCATTTATCTATTAATGTTTGGCTATGCACTTGCATTTCTTTCTTTCTTTATAGAAATCGCATGGCACAAACTGATCTCAAAAAGACGTCTGTCCCATGTGAAGACAAAAAACACATCGCGTGAACAAGTACAACTATTTCTAAATTATGTACTTCATCATATTAAACGTGGCACACGAAACACAGAATGACTGCCAACTGTCTGCACTATATTTTCACTAAAATGAAAAAGTTTATGATTTGATTAATGACGGGAGAAGTTTGTATCATAGTTGTTCTTAAACTTGAAAAACCACATGAAAAATATTAAGTGTAAAACTGTCTTGTTCAATGTCAAATATTCATTCCTGATGTGTATGAAATAAATGTAGCTTACGCTAATACTTCGCTTTCAGTGTCTAGTAAATTGGTCTCGTACCTTAAAATATGTAAAAACTATTAAAAATCTTACATATTCTCATCGTTACGGTTTTTATTATTTTTAAAGTCTATGCAGCAGATATTCTACTGACTTGGAACGTTTTTCAACTAATTCTTAATTTTCTTTCCCATTTCCTTGATTGCTTTCTTTTTATCTCCAATTCTCTTCATTCCCATTTCTACCTTCTATTCGTACCTTAAATAACATTCTAATTCTGTAATTATCAAGACCAAGGAACAAACAAACAAACAAGTGGCACATATGCGAGTTTTTCACTGCTGTGAGGATAATGACGTTGAGTTTCTAGACTATGGCGCAGTGTAGATTTGAAGGAAGATGCCAACATATCAGAGAAAAATGTTGCGTCCATCGTCAAGGCTGAAGATGGAGTAATTAAAATGGAAAAAGTACGGTTTTCCAAACCGTTGACGTCTACCTGCGAGTCTACACAACGCGAAAACCCAAAGCAAATGGAAATTTACATTTCGGTCTTCATTTATAGCCCCTGCTAGTTCAGGCCGTTTCAACTACAGTAATTATACTACCAAATATGTTATATGCAAATTATTAGTTATTTAAAGTCAAAGAAATATCTCCTTCGTGTCCACCGTGAAGAAATGTTTCAAAATAATGTTTCATTGCGCATAAGAACAAATTTAATGAAAATTAAGATAACTATCTTCTGGGACGTTGTGCCATGTAGCCTGATATACACTGAAGAATGTTTAAAGGCGGTGATGCCGGAGGCAGTAAGCACCTCTGAAACGTCGGTCAATATGTATCCTACTACACTACACTACACGGTGCAATATCCCAGAAGACAAGCATCTGTCTCGAAAATTATGATTTTGAAAAACAGTGATTTTAAAGCAACAAGTCAAAAGCAGGAGCGACCAGGACGAAATATTCGCCTGTTTTTAGGCCGTGTGGTAATGGCGATCGCATCCAAAAGCAATGGACTGTGAAAAGTGACCCGTACTGTCCACTTCTAAGAGGACCGTGCAGAATGGAGCCATGGTAACGATTCGTACAGGCTGCTGCAACCGAAGAAGTGAACACAACTGGAGGGAGAGACCCAGTTTGTCGGTCTGAATCGGAGACGGTTCGAAAATGGGAGGGGAAGACGAAATGCCGGCTGGTAGATTTCTTTTCAGGTTTCTCTACTAAAATACTACATTAACTTCTTACCTCGGCCATGCGTGCTACATGCTTCATCAAATTAATTTCTCCTTTATTTAACAGTATAAAATGAAATGTACAAAATATAAAATCCGTAGTTATGTAGGCCTTACTTATTTCAATCCTGAAATAAAACTGTGTTTTAAGTTAGATTCATGTTAATTCTTTTTACGTAATAAATTTAAATCCTTGTTCAAATTTCCAATCTTGCTTTGCTTCTTTGTGTTCTACAAACTCTCCTTCAGAGATCGCTTTCAGAAACGCACTTGAGTACTGAATGTTCAACAAAGACTCTTTGTTAACTCTCATATCCACTTGGGTCCAAATCGAACAATATTCTGGCTGCCTGCTATCACGTAACACACGCTTTCATAAATCATGCCTTCGACATACTACATGCCTACAGGTTACACAGTTCCCAGGAGTGAGTGTATAGTGTATACACTGCACATAATGGCACAATGCAGTGGTACGTTGGATACTGTTCGCTTTGCGTGTGAGCGAACCAATTCTTTAATACCACATGCATAAATTCACTGACCCATACAAATTTTAGTCGATACTGAGCATAATAGTTTGTGAGTGAAGTGTTCTGGCATTATAACCAACGAACACCAATGAGAAGAGTAGTTCCTGACAATCTGATACGTACTCAGCTGAACGAGAACTCCCCTCGTCTTATCTAACATGGAGGTTAATTAACGGGCGCATAAGAATCCGCCACTGGACTATCGTGAGCCAGATACATCCAGTCCAGAACATTTTTCAGTAAGATCTATTTGTATATTATATTCCTATTAATTTATAGATATCCCCAAATCCCATATGTACCCACACTTTCACGTTTGCCGAATAAAATCTTGTGTATATTTCTTATTTCTTCTAAATATTCTACACAGGCGCCTAACCTCACACAGCGACATCATTCGTTGCTGTTTTCAAGACCGGCTCAAGTCCTTGGTTAACGCGTTTATTTATTGCACTGATTTCTATTATATATCTCATTAAACAACTCCCCAATGATCCAGTACCACGCTAAATAATTTTTGTTAAAAGCATGAAACGGTGGATATGTGTATTTCGATTCAGAATACAAACAGTTCTGCTGATTCGTTCATTGAATTACATCGCCTCATTAACACTGATGTTTCTTTCTTGCAGATAAAAGTCTTTCGTGAACTTTTATCACTTCACGTAACATTGAATCGTACATAATTTCTCTGATCTAGTAAATACACAAAATGTGAATATATTACAGTTTAACCAGAGTAGAAAATCTTAACAAACGCGTTCATTTTAAGTGAAATTTCAGATTCTCAAAGCGGCGAGTAAATATATGGCTGTCTTTGTAATCTCGAAAATCTGTCTCTCAACATTTTAAACTTGTCGCTCCGTCCTTGTGCGCAAAAAGCCGTTAAGTGTGTCACCAGAACACTGAATTTCCCTTCAGATACACGAGTATGTCATGAGGAGTTATTTTTATTATATGCATCAGTGCCGTGGGCCTACGTTTCAGTCAACCTCCCGTGCTCAGTTGGAAATATTTCTGGAGAGCAAATATCCTTCCTTTAGTTGACGTGAATTATAACGAAACTGCATTACAGCGCATACCAGATTGAAAGAGCAAACGTCTCCTTCAGTACCATCTCCTACTTCTCAGGGGATTCCCTCACACGCAGTGCATAACTTTCTTGTTCCCAAAACACCAAAAATAGATTATACGCTGGTGCCGCTTTCGGATGAAATTATGTTCATTAGGGATTTACGCTGTTGTTTATTTTAAGACAGAAATACGCAAATAAATACAAAACAAAAGTCATGTTCTATAGTTAATTAAACGGCGCTGTCTGTAACTCGACGTAGAGTAGTAGACAGAGTAATTTGAAGGGATACAGAAGGAAGTGGTCGTGTCGTAATTTCATAAATCATTTTGACGCTGCCTGGAGGAACTGAGGAAAACCTGGAGAAAACTATAGTCAGCATAGGCGCTCATCGGACCTAAATTAGGACCTGGGACCTCCAGAATATGAACCACCCAGCCGTGCTATTCGAAAAAATGTATTCATAAAATACCAGTTATTTGTTTTAAATTCCAGCGATGCATGTACAGATTTATGTAACAATAATTTAAGCCCACCGGGAGGAATACCCAGGATTCGACATCACTTGGTGCTCTCAAAGGAAGTAAATCGGCAAAAATTAAATTAAATTAAGAATGCAAGTGCGTATACACTTTGGTGCCTGGACAAAATATGGCAACATCACTAGATTTTAACATATATTACAAACATTATTTTATATGGTTCTTAAACAAAGTGCATAATACCTAGACTACACGAGAATATGGTAGATTTCTGTTTGTTTGTATGCTAATCGGTTTGTCCCTCCGAATGTTACATTACTTTAAATAAAATTTTGATTTGAAGTGGTGGACCGTGCAGCCGGTCTGCAGGAATAAACCAAGCTGTTTTCGTCCTTATATTCAACTGGTTAATGCTGTTTATGGAAATAATAGCTGTTTATTCTGAGAATCATACGAAACCCAAGCTCGTTCTAAGGGCAATATGTAAAGTTACGAATTGTTATAGCACGTGGTACATATAGTTACCACTGGGTTTAAAGAGTTATACATAAAAGCAGACACTTTAATTGTAATTATCTGTTCATCTTGTTAAAATGTTTGCAGAGGTTTGATTGATTGTCTTTGTTCCACTGACCACATATTAAATATCTGGAAAAATACGCCATATGAAATGTGCAAATTTATATATCCTTTTAATTTAAAGAAAATTGGAATTCACCGGAATTAGAGATAAATTAATTTTTAACTCTATTCATGCACCAAATCAGCACAGTTATTTTCCTTGTCTCATTTGGTGCAGTACTTTAATGTTTATCCTTGTTCCAACAGACCCAGCTGACGGCAAACTTTACCCCACGGCAATCGTACCTCCGACATGGAATCTAGTTTATATCTTAATTGCGTCATGTTTGTGTTCCGGTACAATACAATATAATAACTCTGAAGTTACAATGGAACAAAGGACAGACCTACGATATAGCCTAATAACAATAGGGAATGTCTGATACAAAAATTGCTGCAGTCACAAAAATCCAGCTCCAAAATTCCGCCGAGAGTTTGTAGTTCCCATGCAAAATATTATATTTGTAACAAATATAAGTTGTTAGCTCCATGCTGCAGAACATTTCTTGAAAAAGTAAAATGCAAATACTTCGCTGGAAAAGGAATTTCCTTAATTGATGGAACCCGTAGGAAATTAGTCCAGTGGAGTCCACAACTTACATCCTATTTAATATTATCCTCCCACCTATCTATAGGTCTCCTTGAAGATTTTCCGCCTGAAATTTGCCTTGGCGTTATGCCTGCTACGTGCCGAACACATTACAAGTTCATTGATTTATTTGATGAGAATTTCGATGCGAGAGAAACAGCGTGGTGTACGCCTGACAAACAAGCAACTTCATCACAGGTACGACTTACGGTACTTAAATTTTTTTTGGAGCTTTACCTTGAAACACAGGTTTTAATACCATTTTAATAGGCCTAATATGTAGCACGCACAAAGTTTATATACCATCATATTTCCGCATGAAATTATGCGCAATTATTGAACACATAACTAACTTCTGATGTGAAGGTTTCACGGCGGCGGTAACAAATTGGCTTCTAATTGCAACTAATTTGTGCAAGGACCGGGCAAGATTTTGTCTCACAAATATCTCTCTCGGCGCAGACGTGCGTAGCGTGACACGGAAGTTATATCGGCT